AATCAGCCCCAAAGTCTATATATCTCAATGAAATTCTATGCAGTTGGAACAGTCATTCTGAAACTGTGTAGCTTTTGCACTTGACTTTTACTGTTTCCCTGTCAAACATATTTTTATGTACATACATATCCACTACCGAAACCAAAAAAATCATGACAGAGTTAGAACTGAAAAACTATTAGCTTTACCTCTTTTCTGATAATTCATGCCAATTGCCTGCATTCAGTCATTCTGCATCCCCTAATATCTAGCCTTTTTTGTTACCTCTTGAAGGAAGGCTGCTCCTAAAGGGCAAATCACATTTCTTTGCATAAACTAAGGAAAGGCGAGCTACAAAAACTGTGAGCTCCAACAGTTTTACAGCAGAATGTTGAACAACCTCTTCACTAATCAAGACTTAATAAAAACAAATTCTTTTTTCTACTTATTGCAAGTAAACATCTTCATTCACATGCTTAACACTACTTTGATGAATATTCAACTGTATTTGATTCTGGCCAAAGGATGAAAGCGACCTTGGCTTGTCAAGGATGTCCTTCAATGGTATCTCTCAGGCTGAAAGAATGGAGGGTGCTGAGCTACTCTTCTTAAGATCCATTTAATTCCCCCTTAGAGTGCTCTGAATCCATGTAAAAGCATGACTCAAAAAATCTTCTGCAATTTCTGAAGAAACTACTGAAAGACACTGGGTAAAGTTATTATCAAACAGGCAAGGTACTATTTATGGCTTTCTGAACTTTTTTCACTGAACAAAAGCATTTTTCCACGTGAAAATAGAAAGTTTTTAATAAGAATTTAATATCTTAATAAGGTAGTTATGTTTTCAACAAACTGACTCAATTTTCAATTTCTAAGTTACATATACATGTCTGTATGTATGTGTGTGTCTATGTATGTACACATATTGGAAACTTGTCATCCATACTTATTTTAAATGCTATTTTGTATTCTTTTAATACAGAAATAGTGGGCAACCATTTTGCTGTATTTAAGTAAATAGTAAGTTCTTGCATTAATCAATTGGCCTTATGAAAATATTTAGGAACTGTAACCTTGCCCATATTAAATGAACTATTGCCTTTGTAGTTCCAGTTTTAGTTTGAAAATTTCTCCCTTTTAATTTCTTAGTGTCTTACAGAGACCCTAAAAATTTTTAAAATAGCTGTTTAATTAGGCAATTACTATTTTTCCTTTTCACTCCAAGCCCCATTCCTAATCGACTCTTAACATGGTGAGCGTGACAAGGTTACATCCTGTGGCTTACAGTGATAACTAAGCCCATGGGACTACCCTTCAGGAACTAATTGTCCAGAACTGAGTTCAGTTCCTCTTCCCACAAAAGCAGTGAAGGCTGAATCCTAAGTAGCTGAAGTGGGTAATGAGTACAGATGTCATCATGACCTGCTGAGAACTGAAAACGACTGAGATAGGATGACCCACGGCGGCCTGTCCAGCAAGGTTGCAGAGGGTAGAGAGGAAAGCTCAAAGATTGGCTTGCTTTTATCCCCAAGCTGACCTGCGTGGCTTGGACATGCGTCTTCCCCTTCTGAAGATTTCACTTTCATCACCAGTAATGTTATTTAAGATTTTTAAGAGGAGGGAATAAGGAAGTGTATTTAAAAAATGAAGCCAGAGGGCCTCAAGAGATGTCTCCGAAGTTAAGAGCTGCTCTTCCATTAGAACCCAGGTCCAATTCCTAGCACCCACATGACAGCTTACAAACACCCACAAATACAATTCCAGATGATCCATTCCACCCCCCCACCTTCTAGCCTCTGTGGGCAACACACACACACATTGTACACAGACATACAAGCAGGCAAGACATAAACAAAATAAAAACAATAAATCTTTAAAAGGATGAAGCCAGAAAACTGGGCATGAGACTCAATAAATGTTTTCCCGTTGATGAAATGCTTGCTTCAAGAGAGCTGATGTCTACTGATGTCAGGCATGGGATTAAAATTTTGTTACTTCAGTATTTCCAGAAAATCAAGCCACTAAGATAAAACCCGAGAAACAAAAATACAAAAAAACTGACACATTACCACTATATGAAGAACTAGAAATTTTGTAAATGCTTTTCCTTCACATGTATATATTACATGCAAAGTTTTTCCAACATGTTTTCAAAAAGAAAAAAAAAATGGATGCTGTGCCAGGCCCTGGAAAACAAAGGTAAACGGTCCTTTCCTTGCCTGGAGGATGTGTGGAACACTGGCACACAACAGCCACTAGTAAGCAGAGATTATGTAGCAGGTGCCAGAGGTATGCCAAAAGAGAGCAGAAGGCGTTTTATGTTCTCTTTATCCTTTCATAAAAGTTTTAATGCATGAATGAATCCTTAGGAACAAGGAGAATGTATTGAACAGCCTCTGAAAAGAAAGAGATCAAAGTCCATGGATTTGCTTTATACAAGTGGCAAGGAACAGGGTGTTCCAGTGTGACAGAGCACGGCTTATCGAGACATAGTGGGGTGGTTTGTCTACAGTCAAAGCCTAATGACTGTAGCACTGTGGAAAAAAATGGCAGAGTAAGTGGAGACAAGTTAGGAAGAGAGGATAAACGCTGGTGCCAAATGATGGCAATTGATGGAAACTGACTACTGTGATGAATGGCAGAAACTCTGAGATACACAGTGTTTGTTAGTTTTCTTCCTATGCTTTTTAAAAACCAGTCCCAGGAGGTGTGGTGAACGTTACTTCTTTTAAATGTCATCCCTAACACTGTCTAACAAAGACATTCCCTCTCTTTGATATTTAAATTTTAACTGTCAGGTTAATAGCTAACATCTATGAGTTTCTGCATCTTAGGTAATGTTTACTGCTTTAACAACTAAGTCAATGGCACTGCAGGTTAGTAGGATCAAGTGTTAGGAACACAGGATGAGTCTCGCTGCTTTACCTCACTTCCCAAACACAAAGATCCAGTCAGTTTTCTGCCATTTCCCTCTTCTAGCTGACTTGGTAAGGCCTTTCTCAGCCCACAGCCCTCAATTTCATGGAAAGCCTCTTTCGAGCTGTGTGCTGGGATACAGCCATGACTCCATGGACTCCTGGGAAAGTTAAGTTCTTTTGCATTATTGAGAGCAAAGTTTTTCTTGTACCTAAATCTTCTTAAAGAAGAAGCATCATCCTGTAAAACAGGTTTACATCATGTTATTATATTCTGGTTAAATAAAGCAATTGGTGTTAGACTGTAACAAATCACAGTGGAGTAGTAGTTCTTAACTGCTTTAAATAGGAAAGATGAAGCACTAGTCTGCTGTCTAGTTTTTAAAGTATGTGTCTGTGCATGAATGTGTGTGTGTCACTTGTGAGTGTGGTATATGGGTATGGTATGTCTGGGGGGG